TAAGTAGAGTTTATTTTGTAACATACGCTGAAAGTAACAATAAAAGAATAAACTTACCAGCTTGCCTCTGTCTATATTCAGATGGGTACAGAGTCTTTTCTGAGAATGAAAGAAATACAAAATATTGAAATGGAGCGTATTGTTCTGGCTAGTCCTGATACGCCCATGCCAGCCACTACAGTACATGCTCACGTACATGGTTTATAGAAAAATTTCCTGTCATTTTCCAGGTTTGAAGGAATTAACTAATTAGCTAGTTGACCAGAAATATCTGGTAAGGAGGTGGCCTGCAATGCCAGGCTGGTAGAAATTTAGAGCTGGCATCCACTAGGAGGCACGAATGCGAGAGATATTATGTTAAGAAAAAATAAAGGTCTACATGAAAAACCATAATGATGATCTCTGTTCACTGCAAAGTCAGAGCCAAAAAACAAGGTGAAAGTAAAGAAAATATTTAGCAATTAGTCCTCGAGCACAAATGAGTTATTGACTCATARGCTGTGAGGGCGAGAGGAATAACTGTTTTAGTCAAATTAAATCCAACTAGTTGGTCAAATATTTAGATGCAAACAAGTCTTGAATTAAAGTTAAATTCAATTTTTTGACTTTCAAAGCCGGCACTTTTCTCTACTTTATACTAGGCTATAACTTATAGTTATAGTTAGTTAGTTTTAGTTTAATACTTCATGAGAGATGTCAATAGTAATGACATCTCCCATGAAGTATTAAAGTGCATGAYAMGAAAAAAATTTAATGYTAAAAATGTGTAGTTTATTAGCATTAATAAAAATATCACGGTTAGTGATAAAGCATTAAATAAAGTATTAAAGCTTTTTTCTTAGCTGAGCTAAGTGAGTGATCGGAATAAATAATTGAGTGGAGTGACGTGAGTGATTATTCTGGAACACAACAGAGATATCAAAGAGAACCAAGATCGATGTCATTAGCTATTACCTTCAAAGGTTTCCAACTCCTGTAAAGCATCAAGTCGATCTATTGCCATGAGACAAGACTTTAACCTGGATATGGTCAGATCACGCAATTCAGGTTTATTCAACATGACGTGAACTGGATCTCTCTCCTCTCTTAGATCAGTTATTTCTTCAAAGGTAAAGCCAAGTTGCCCAGCCAGAGCCGTGTAGTTATTCCCTAACTCATGATGAGGCCGAAGAAGCTGTGAAAGACGTAACAGTGCCTCGTAACTCATGTGTCTTACGAGTTTTTCTTCTTCAAGCGGAGCTGTAGGATATACGTGGTTTGTTTCTTCACTACTGGCCATCTTAGACGTTGTATCTCAAGAAAAACCCTCAAAACACTCGCTTTTTCTCTGTGTTTTAAGGCTAATTTTCTTCGCCTTAGCCTTTTAGAGCTTTCTTTCTTGTAAAACACTCCTCCTTACGAGATAATTCCAGTAAAACGAGTCGTAAAGTAGTAAAAAAAGATTCGTGATAGTCAACTTCCTGTCAGAAGGATTTCACATCTGCATGATTGACGAACTCGGGCCCATGATCTTCGCTGCCAACATGCCGAAATATTTATATCCAAATATAAAAATGTCAGAATATCGAATCTCGTCCACGTTTAAAATTCTTTGTATTTTAATATTTAGAGCTACTGTAAACTAACCTTTTGTTCATCATTGCGGGGCTTTCCTTCACGGTTTTTTCCCCTGTGTAAAGAGGCTAGTACAAGTACTACGGCGCGCCCCATCCACACCGACGCACCGGCCACGCACTGTTACTTTTTTGACACGAATTAAAAATCGTCTGTCTGTCTGTGAGTGATGGGCGGACACACGATTTCAGGGGTGCACCATTTAGAGGGCATTTAGTAACACTGTTGAATAGAGTGCATAGCATGATCCGTGAAAAACGTTTGTAAGAAATTTCCACAAATTTGCAAAGACTAGCAGTAAGTTCAGTAGACCTCAGTAGACCGTAGACCTACAAAACTTTACACTAATTTGTACAATTTTGTTAGTAAAGTTTTTCACTGATATATGGTATGCACTCTAAGATTTCTATTAAGTCTAAGTTCAGTAGACCTCAGTAGACCGTAGACCTACAAAACTTTGCACTAATTTGTACAATTTTGTTAGTTAACTTTTTCACCGATATATGATATACACTCTAGTTAGATAAATTTATCTAGAGTAGATTTAGTCTAACTGTTGAATAGTTACACGTCACCTAAAATTAGCACACGCCAAAACGCAACTCGCACATGTGCGATGATGATTCCAGTAATAACCAAACCAAGGGCGGATCCAGCCAAAATTTTAGTGGGGGAGGGGGGCTAATTGAGTTTGGTGGGGTGGGGGGGAGGGCTAATTGAGTTTCTTCCGTCAACACAACGGAAAACAATGAAAAAAGCATGGTTTTTTTCTGCTGAAGGGGGGGTTTCAGCCCCCGTTTGCCCCCCCTGGTTCTGCCCTTGCAAACCCTATTAGAGGTGAAAAAGTAAGCAGTTTGTTTACCTTTACACGTACAACCCTTAAATCCTTATATCTGCTACTAGCATTTTACTTTTCCATTATACTAAATGTGATATTATAAAGCCACGGATTACAATCTGCGAAGATTTACGTTCACTTCCACGTTATTCCTATTCCTCCCCACCCTCCGTACCAAACATGGCCCAAACAAATGCAAATACACCACTATAAAGGCCACAGTTCGTAAATTTTTATTAAATTAATAATCTTTTTTACACCAACATTTGAATTTCACTCGGTAACGACTAACACACATAGAATTAATTCACGCATTCTCTCTCATTTATAAGTTCATAAAAGTACACTTCTAGTTATGGACCTCTGACTATTCTGAAGAAATTTCTGGAACCGAGAAAATAGTATAGGAGGGGTACCCAATTGTCAGATGATTTTTCGGCCGAAAGTCAGTTACTAACTGTAATAATTTTACGAGCGGCTGGCCATAACATTAACCAATAATGAAATATCAGTTAACTCTTTTAAAACTACTAATTTTAGGTTATTCGTCAGTTAACTACTATTTTTTTTGGCCACCCCACTGGCACCATCGGAACTTGATTGGCTGGCTAGTTTAAAATATTTACGTGCGAAACTTAGGTGTGTGTCTACTCTAGTGATATTTGCAAGAACGAGATACGATTCCATATCTTATCCGGTAATTTAACAACACGAATGTCAGTTGAAATAATTAACGAAAATTTTTTCATAAATTCATTTTTTGTTGCTTTTTTTTCTTTTTCTTCATTCTTTTCATCTTTCTTTTCCCATTTTTCCTTTTTCTCCTTCTTTCTCTTTACACCCTTTCTTTCTATTTTTATCCCTCTCTTCCGTCCCACTCATAAATCATTCTCACAATACTGAACCAATAGTTCTTTAGAACTGCATTAATGCATAGCCTTAAAAAGTCTTTCGTGAACAAAAGTCAGATCAAAACAGAAAGACAAGGGGCACCACACGCGTAGTCGTCAGTAAATAGTTCTTATTAACCGTTATGGACCGACGTTTTCCCACTGCATGCTTTATGGCCCAAGCGCGTATCGCACGGGCCATACGAAGAAGTGGGAGAAATGAGGTTCCATAACTTGCGTACGGACACAGCTAGCGAGGTTAATAAGATGTTTATTAGGCCCCGTCCACACGTATCCGGAAATTTTTGTATCCGCAAATTATTTTTTGCGGATACAGGTTGCGTCCACACGTGTCCGGAAATTTTTGTATCCGTATCCGGAAATTTTACGAAAACGGACACGTGTGGACGGTGAAAACGATTCGAATACACTGCGTGTGGATGCAAACATTTTCGTTTTCGGAAAAAAAAAAAAAANGGAAAAAAAAAAAAAAAAAAAAAAAAAAATTGCGGATACAAAAATTTCCGGATACGTGTGGACGGGGCCTTATATGGCAAGGTGAACACCAAAATAGGGTTGTTGGACTGATCCTTACCGTAAGTTATAGATCGCAAATTTGCCAATGAAAGCGCGTGATATGACCCGTACCGCCCTGCTCGTGCTCTCTATTAAAACCTTTGGAAAAAGTCACGTGATGGGGGCTGCATGGGTGATTCTGCGTTGAACCATTTTGTGAAGTGAGACAAATGTCATGCTAAATTATACTAACTTGTCCCGATAATATATGTAATCCCAAATGCAACCAATTGTTCATCGATGGTAGTAATACACGTGAATACCCGTTTCAGGAATCACATGTCGCCTCTCATTCGTAGTAATTCGGAGATCGGGTTTTTGTCGGATATCTGGTGCATTTTCTGGAAACTGTTCGTGAAATTTCCGATGTGCTTCAGTTTTACTCCAGGTATTTTGTAGATCAAGCAGGGCAGTGCTCGGCCTCTTCGGGCTGTAGACGGAACTATTTCGGAACCACTTCGGGTACAAATCGCTATTTGTCGAGCCTGTTTTCGCCTGCTCGTGTAGCTGGCTTGGCATATTGTGTATCGTCGGTGACCGAGGTCGTGATGGTTCGGGAGCCGTGGCAGGCCGATTATTCCAGTAAAAATTCGACGTCTTAGGATACTGCAACTGAGCAAGAGAAGCCGTCGTTTCTGGTGGGGAAGCCGCCTGGTAATAATTATTAGTTATCTTACAAGTATCTAACGGATATTTTGACCCTTCTTGGTTAATGAGGTGATGTGTGTTATTTGAATACGTCCCTGGTTCTCTGTCATCATCGGGGATGGAAGATTTCTGTACGATTTCACTGTCTTTCGATGTTTTTCCTGCTGCGTACTTCCGCTGGTCATTCTCTTCGTCCTCGTCATCCGTGACCCATAATTCTGTTCCGTGTCCAACTATAATTCTTTTCGTCTTTTTTGGTTTCTTTTTGCTTCTTACCGTCGTCTGGCGTCCTTCAAGCGGTCGCGGAGGAGTGAATTGGTTTCTTAAATGCTCCTTCTAATGAAAACGGGAAAAAAGAAAAAAAGATTTTCACTGAGTCAAAAAGTGCTTTCAAATTTCTCAATCAATATTTCATGTCAGTTGTTATCTAGTAAGTTTTATTTTCATCAGCGAATATCGGCAGTTAAATTATCGATCGATCAACAAGAAAATATATTTCGCATCAGTCAATGTTGTGTAAAGGCATTCCATGTGCATTGACATGTTTGTATGAAAAAACTCAGCTTAAATTCGTAGTAACAGTAGTAATGGTATTCAGCGACTCCAGTAATAGTGTTTCCGCGAGTGTGGTTTGTTAATTATTTGTAAATGGCTGTGAAAACGGATGCTTGAAGCAAGTTTTGACACTTTAGCAAAGGTTTGGCATTTTGATCTGCAGAGCGGGTGGAAATAAAGGCAACGATGACGGGATTCGTGGCCGGGGAAATTCGTGCCGTTAAAATGTACATCAAATGCAGTATGTGCATGTGAACAGTGGCCCACTTTTTTCTCAGCGTCAGTCTCAGGGCTCTTCCATCTACCCGGAAAAACTGGAAATTCCAGTTGGAAAAACAAATGGTTTGTGTGGTTCCGATCGGAAAGTTCCGGGGAAAACTCGGTCTTTCGATTGAGGCAATCCCCTTTTCCCGCTCTTTTCGGTTCTTCCGTTAGACGCTTATTCCTAATTTGCCGGAAGTCAAATTTTCCCGCTCTTTTTTTTACTAATAGCAAACGATTTCCAACCGGATGCATTGGTTTAAATGGTAAAACCCTCAGATTCTCAGAGTCTTTATGCTTACCAATTCATTGCCTTCTCCTCTGGTCACATCATCATAGTTATCAAGCTTCAAGATATTCTGTGTACCATTCCCCGTGTATTGCTGACTATAGATAGTCTTCCAGTACGATTTCTGCAGGTTGTAAAGGGCATTTGCTGTTCGTGGAGAAACTGTCAGCTCCGCTGGTCGATTTAAACTGTTTGGCTGGACTGAGGAGGGTGGGGTGGGGTAGAAAACCTGACGCTGAAGTTCTGGACCTTTGACCAGCTATGAAAAGAGAAAATACGTGTGTCAACGTGAAGAAGTTACAGCCCGAGGTGCCCCCCGCCCAATTACTTCATTACTGTAACAAAACTTTGTTTCCCCCCTGGACGCCCCACAATGCCTTGCGATCCAAAATGGCCGCCCCAAGTATTCAATTCCTTACCTGATAATAGTTATGTTCATTCCAAATGAGAGGAGTTTTCTGAGATTCCTTTTGTACTTGTATCACCTCTCTACGATAAGCGTGTCCCTTGGTCTTCTCAACAACAACAGGATCGATTGCCGAGGCAGCTGCGGTGGGGGGTAGGGTGGAGGAGTAGATCACAGCTTCTTTGCCTTTTCTGACGTCATCGGGTGAATCAAAGGAGGGGAACACGGCGAACKTTGGCGTGTGGGACTGGTAAGGATGCTCTGATGGGAACTTCAAAGGGATTGTTAACTTTCTGTTAAATGAATAAGAAAATGCAAGGTCAACGCTACGCCATAAAATGATTTTATCGAGCTGATCTGAGAAGATATATCAATCAAAATCGAAATAATTTGCAAATCTGAGGTGTCAATTTTTATTATGAAATTTGTCGATTCTTGTGGAATCAGTCCACGGTCACCAAGTGAAAAAATACCGTCACTAATAAGTGCATCATAACAGAGACAAATATTATATTGAATGGCGGGAATGTTTTTATTTTTCAGTGTTCAATTCATTTGCAGGCTTCATGAAACCTCTGTTTTGCAGTTACGTTATTTATAGGTCACTATTTCAGATCAGCTGAATATCACGATAGATACAAAAGTACGCTATGGCTTACCCGATATCCAGTTTCTGAGGGTCGGGGATGCTGTGGATATAAACAGATTATTGGTTAGTGCAACTTATTTATGATTATTGGGTTGCCTGTGGCAAACCAGTCTTAAAATAAAATGTCAGAAAATGCCTAATAACGTAATATCTGTCGCAACACAGTTTCTATACGCAATCCAAGCAACCTCCAGGCAACCCAGTTTACGCTCTTTGAGCGTCTTGTTTCTAAGTAATATAGGACTAGAACTGGGGCCGAGTTTAAAAAGGTTGAGCAGTGCTATCTACCCTGCGAGCAGAGTCTCCTTTTACCTCCTGTAAAGGGTAAGTGCTATCTTATCCATTGGATACGAAATTATTTTGATAACAGCATCGACGTATCCACTGGATAAGAATTTATCCGTCAGATAGCGCTATCCACCAATACTACTGGATTAGTATACATGTTGTACGCTTGTATAGGAAATCGCACGATCTCGAGTACAATTTGGAATTTATAGATACGAGTGATGTTTTGAAAGTTGTACCAAGGGCAAATAGTGCGAATTTCATACGAGGAGCTCTGGGTACGAGATTAAAAGAAGGTGAGAAATTCGGGTGTCTAGGCGCTCCTAGCCAACCTCCTTATAAATGTTTAAAAACCGTGGTACAAAATCTTTAAAAATTAAAAAGAGGAGTCGTAAATCTCGATTTTTCTATTGTATAAAACAATTTTCTGAGGAACGTCGGCAAACACGTTCTTGTACATTCGGCTTCACTTTCACAATAAATTTCCCTCGAAAGGCTGTTTTGGAAAGCATGGCGTTTGTAAGAGATTAAAATTACTGCAGCTACCCGCCATCTACAAATGCAGTGGCGAAAAAACAGCGAACTACAAGAAACCTGTCCAAAAACATTCTATCCCTTTCCAAGGCAAAGAATAGGAAGACAAACTAGAAAACACTTGCAAAAGTAAATCGGGGTAAAAAAATCGCCTTATTCAAGGTTAAGACAGTGACCTTCATAACACGAATCCAAAAATCTAGGAAAAGCTTGTACGTACAACATTTTTTTCTAAGCGCCTGTCAGTTTTCACACTGTCATGGCGAATGCTATAGTTGTATAAATTAACTGAACGATAGATCTTTTTCTCAGAATTATATTCATTTTCAAACAACCAATGTCTACCAATGATATAAATAATGTCTACCAATATGTCATAATAAACCAAAACTTTGGACTTCCAATGATCTGTCGTATCGACATCTCATCGAGTGAAGTCCATGCGTAAGAAACTAAAAATAATTGTTCCGGCAAATATGATGCGTGTGATTGAATTCCCAAGAAGAACTATGATATATAAGCGATGCTAAAATATTGATAATTGACCAAGGTTTATTGATTCAAAAGCAACTGAAATTGAGAACTGGAAAAAAGTAGCCAAAACAAAAAACAAAAAAAACAAAAAAACAAAAAAAAAACAAAAAACGACTCATCAATATTAAAAGTACCACAATAAAAGACCCTTTTCAGTGAAAGGAAACCACAATCATTGTATCTCAGCCGTTATTAACCAATGAATTTAAAAAATACAGTTGACCAAACTAACGGAATCTCAGTCAAAGAAAGAGAAATCTCAGTGTTGAAACATTTTTGAATGCAGCAGTGTTGTTTGTAAAATTGCTTGAACTCGAGGACGAGCCAGCCATTGCCACACACTTTTTCAAGAGCTTCCACTGTTGTGTCACTGAAAGTTTTTAATAGTTTCTTTTTGTTTTACTATTCGAATATTACAGAGAAAAGTTATGGAAAATAGCTCTTTGTCAGGCAGCTCTTCGGGAAACCAGTTGCAAGTCTTGCAAGACATAGTCGAGTTTCTTGAAGGTATTGAACAATCAGTCGAGTTGCTGAAGAGCAAAATAAATTCTCTATCGGCTAAATATCCCATCACGGCTCAAGAGAAAAGACTTAACCAATTAATAGAGAAAATACAAAGAGACGTCCAAGAAAGGGTGGCGATGGAAAAACTGCTTCGCGAGACGACAATGTCTGTGGAAGAGAGTACGACTCCATCATCATCTGTAGGAACCGAGGAATCATTCCCAATCCCAAGTCCTCCACAAGAAGTAGATTATCCAGTGATTTTGTACAACAGTTATTGCCTTCGTAGACGAACTGTTGACCAGGTTGGTAAACTTGGTCAAACTTTGCCAAGGAAAAAGAAAGTTAAGGTTATGGGGATAAACGTGGAGACGTTGACTAACGACAAGTATGACCGGGAAAAACGAGCGGGAGAATGGACGAAAGAGTTGGTCACAGTTTTACAGAATGGACAAGATTATAAGACGGAGAAGTTAGATTCTGAAAACGTGGCACCTAATGCACAAGCTATCGTCTTAGATATCGGAAAAACAAATTTCAAAAAGGGGAGCATTCCTATTTTCTTTTTTGAAAGTCAGATGGGAGATTTGATCGTCTCTCCAGAAAAGATTTTCTTATCTCCAAAGGAGTATGCCCAGCTCAGAGGATACGATCCAAACGAACGACTAGAGATAGCGATGAAAGTAGCAGCTGCAAACTACGAGTACTGGAGCTCTGTGTACTATAAAGGACTGAGGAATAAAGAGAAGGATCCAATGCAACAGAGTTTAGTTAAAGAATACTTACGACATTACATTAAAGACCCTCTGAACAGCAAAGGATTGATATTTTATTACCAGATAAATAAAAGCTGCTGCCATCAACAGATACAGTGTCAGTCGTACATTGGGAAATGCGAGGGATCTCTGGTTGAGAAGTTGAGAGAGATTCATGAAGAAAGCGACCAAGAAAAACCGTCTCTTCTGAAACTTGCTCTCAAGAGTAAACTCTTGTACTCTGAGGAGAATGAAGTTGGGGATATTGCAAAGAAAAATGTCGTTCTCATTTTGGATTTTGGTTACACGGAGGAATTCGTAGAGAAGTATAAAGATAGGCTAGACAAAGGTGACAGACTTTCCGTCTTACAAAAGAACTATGTTGAATACTTTGGGGCCAGAAGTCCAATAGGATTAAATTGAAACATCAACATAAGTAACATGTTGTCATAGCAGCTAAAAATATCGAAACATCTGCAAGGCAGAAACATAATTACCTTCAAAAGCCTTCGAATTTTATGATTCAGAACTGAATGAACCTTTTGGTTGATATCAAGTCATGACTAACTCTCGACTAACTCATTATTGAATTGGAATTTAGCGTGCAAGCTTTTGCGGAGTGAGGAAAACCGCGGAGACCCCGGAGATCGTGTCTAAATAAATATAATGATGATGATGATGATGATGATGATGACGATAATTATTATTATTATGCAAAGGCACGGCTACCTTTCAAGATGGCGCAGGGAAGTGTGAAAGGGACTATGTACAACTATAATCTCTACTTACAGCTCGTCATTTCTTCGTAGATCACTCTTCTTTAGGAGCGTTAAATCATAGTACTGTTCAATGGGAATACCCCTGAAAATAGACAAGAATTCAGTTCTGGTTCAAGCACTATACAACACACTTTTAAACAGAGGCGTATATAGGCCCCTCTTGGATACTTTTTCAAACTTCTTATTTTCTTGGCTTAAATATAAATTTCTTGTGACCCCCTTTTAATGGGGAAAATATATCAGAATCAATATGGAAAAAGGACAAAGACATATGTCCGCCATTTTTTTTTTTTTAAATTAAAAAATTAAGACTAAATACTTTGTTAATTAAATGAAAGTCAACAAACATGGCGGCTATATGATGTCACACATGCACTTCAAAATGCTGGGAGTTTTCGATCAATAAGCTGTTAAAAAACTTTGAATCTCATTATCTGCTCCAAATGGTATTCAAACACTTACAACCATTTGCTGACAATGCCGAGCATTCCGCATGAGACAGGAAATGACGTGTAAAAACGAGCGGTAGCGTCCAATGGACGTCTACTTCAACTATACGGCGCGCGTGTGTTTATTGACTTTCTTTTATTTGTAAAGGTAATCTATGTGCAGCCTTAACTCATTTTTTAAAATATTTTCTTATGATGAGCTGTTTTAATTACCAATCGACATCATTTCTGTAAGAAAGCCGTTTATTTGCCCACTGAACGACCCATAATGCATTGCGATTCAAGATGGCCGCCGCATCGTCAAAGAGTCCATTAAACGGTCTCGGCCTATAATAAAGTGATTTTTTTACCTGGGAAAAGGTAGAACGCCGCCTCCAAAGTGTCGATGTCCCTTCTGGACCCTTATTGGTGGTTCTTGTTTGGGCCGGTGGTCCTCAGGGAGATTGATTGGTCCAGTACCGCCATAACTGAGACTGCGTCCCCAGGGCACCTTGGGAGGTCTGTAAGTTCTTGATTTGTAGTGATCAAAACTGATAAAAACGGAGAAAAAAATGAAATAAAGAAATTAATGAATTAATGAACGGCTAACTCACAGATAGAACCTTAAAACAACCTCTGAGCTGTTCTTAGTCAGGCCGGGCACGGCTAACTCACAGATCTAAGGTCATCTAGCCCTGCCGAGCGATCTCTGGGTTGATCTAAGTTAGGGCAAGGCTTACTAATAACATCGAACACTGAAACAGGTATAACCTCTAACAGATCAGAGAAGTGGAATTTGGCGTGATCATGATTTGGCGGAATGGGAAAAATCGAAAAAACCAAAAGAAACCCTCAAATTAAGGGAGAGACCTTACAAAATTAACTCGCGTAATACTGAGTCCAGCTTGGAATCGTTGTGAATCACGAGACCAAACAACGCTACACCGAAATTGCTGTTGTTGACTTTATTCTTTTTCAACTTTAGGCTGTTTTGTTGTTGTTGTTGTTGTTGTTGTCGTTGTTATAATCTAGTACACTATCCAAATTCTCGTGCTATGGCATCGACTTAAAATCAACGTCCATTCAAATAAATTTTCCATTAAAAAGAATTTCGTGATTTAATACTGTTGATAGCTCGCACTTTTGTTACAAAGACTTACTATTTTTTCTTCTCAAAATTATTAAAATTATTTTTGTTTTTCAGCTCATTCATGAATATTCTTAACGGGAATATGGAAACAAGATTGGAACGTTACAGCTTAAGTTAATAACCTCACTAAACCACTTAACTTAACAATAACACTAACTATAAGATTGTGTATATGGTAGATCAACTCGATCAGTGGTTAAAAAAATTACATGATATTACTGCAAAGAGAAAATATTCATTTCTGGCCTAACGAACCTTAAGAGGTTTGCCGGTCCAAGCCATATGTCTGTTTATTAGTGGCAGTAATACTGCATAATACTTCATTAACAGCTCTCAAACAAATCAGACAAAGCCACATGTCGGCTTAATCGATAACGATTATTGGTATTGTCTATTAAACTGGTAAACTAAATGTGAAAGCCCTAAAAACTACCTCAAAAAATACTATTTTTGTTACCTAAAGTAGGCCGTATTCAGAATTAGAACCCGTATTTATGTTCTTTAGGAATGTATTTGTATTTTAAAAGTAATTTTTGGCGCTTTTAGAGCTACTATCCTACCTGTCTCAACTTAGCAACGATGTTAGCAACCGTTTCGCTTCAATAATATCCAAGTATCTTGACCTCGCATTAAGCTTAGGATTTTGACGAAAACTTTTATAACATATCATTTTAGAAGCCAAACTATTGTAGAATCTCAAAATTGTTTAACACACGGTGATATTATTATATTAGTGTATAAGATGAATTCACTTACTGGTTTTGTGAGATCGATAAACGATCTAGTATCGCCGGAGCGTGTAGGACATCAGATTCGACATTCCTCGATAGGTAGTCTACACCAACATGTTGATTATATAGAGACTTTTGCAGTGCCGTCGTCATTTTTCTTCTACAAAATGAGCTCAAATCATGGATTTAGGAGTAGAATCATCCGCATAGTGATTGAATGTAATGAAGTTAAGATTTTTTGCTTCTGTCACGGTGATTTCAGAATGAGCCCATGGTCATCAATTCAATCATCAACACAATTACCAAGGAAACAACTTCGTTGTGATTGGTTAATCCGTGACAGGGTCTTTGGGCGCCATTGTCAAAAGCCAACATGACTTTCCATAGGTAATATTTTTCAACCATTCTGAATTGATTTAAAAAAGAATAGATCTAATGGTATATATTGTACTAAACTCAAAAGATTGAATTCGATTTTTCGCTTTAGATTTGCCTTGCACGGTTGTATTTGGTAAGTCGGAAAGGAGCGAAGGTTTCAAGTTTATACCTTTAAACTATTGGAACTTTTTCAAAAGAAATATGAAAGCATTCCAAGTTTTTAGGGATTTTTCTATTATTATTTTTTTTCTAGTTGCAAACACGAAAGCCTAATTTTTTAAATATCTACATTTAAAAAACTTTCAAATAAATTAATATCAACCAGAGAGTCTTGAAAACGGTAGACAAATATCTCTCTGAGAGCGCGAGGATCCGCGTATTGCACAATCTCATTGCAAGTACCACCGGCGAAGCAACGAAAAGAATAATCCGTTGGGCTCATACCAGACAGAGCTCAACACCCACAGGAAGCAACACAATGGAGGCTATAATGAGTCAGGTCATTGTTAGTTAGTTAATTGAGTAAATGGCAAAGCAAACCGGCTTTGCGTAATAGTGTTCTCTATAGAGAATATTAATCATTAGTGAAGCTGGCTAGTGTAATATCCAAAAGAAAGGAAACTACACACGAGCAAAAAAGGAAGAAATAAATGAAGGAAGCAAGGAATTGAAAGACTAAAAGAATAAAGGAAGGGCTGAAAGGAGAGAACGAAGCTGAAGGGACGAAGGAATATTAGGTCTGTTAATTTTGCTGACCAGCTTTCTCACTCTCGTTTTGAGCGAAAAAAGTTTCTCCAGCTTACTTGATRAAAGCAGCCATGATAAATCTAATTAGCATTTAGTGGAGAAAGGAAAAATTTGAGAATGCTGAGAAAAAAACATCAAAGCGGCAAGAGAGAACCACACATGAATAACTCTACTCATTTCGCATTGGTGAGAGACGGCGATTAACAGCGGAAGCGGACATACGTCACAACTAACTTCCTTGTATAATTTTCCCAAGCATAACTGGTAAAATGAATATAATATTTCTGCTCCAAATGGTGGTCAAACACTGACCATTATGTGCTGTAAGCCCGAAAGATTTATATTATATTGAAAACTTTTGATTCAGCTGTACCTTGAAAGCCGGAAAAATGATGGAATTAAATCTTTCTCAAGGTTTCAAAATTATGTGAGGTGTAAAATAGGCTCTAATTAATTAACACTTTTAGAAATATCCAAGAGGGTATTTAGCTTTAATCCTTCAAGCTTACGGAGAATAATGAAGTTTAAGCCAGCTTTTAAACTTCATTGAAAAGCGCTGAAACTCACAAATTTTCAATTTTACTTGCACTTTTGATAGCCTTTTATAAAATAATTTTTTTAAACAAGAAATTGAAGACAGCGGCAGACTAGGACAGATATACCTCTGTTTGTACTGACCAAGGGTCCATCAAGATGATTGGATGTCTTATACGGCAAGGTCAGTCGAGTCATTTGAATTGAATAACTTATCTACGCTCGACTGACCGCGTATCCTAGGCGAATATTGTGTTGTCATTAAGTGACCTAAAGACTAGTGAAGTAATCTAAAGATCTAATTCTTTATAATACTCCAAAAATACCTTGCCTTGAACCCAAACAATTTAGCTTTAGTATTTCAATGTCTTGAAGGTATTATTCTAGGGATAGTTTTCGAGACAGCAAGATGGTCAGCACAGTTTATATGTCAAAGCTGCAAACAGAGCTTTATAAGCAGAGGCATGGGTTTGATCCTTTGTCAAGAACTTTTCAGTCTGCTGTAGAACACAATCCCGGGCTGATTAACCATCGAATTACAACCTTCCCTGAAAGGTAAGTTTATTAGTAGGTAAAATTAGGTAAAGTGTAAGAAAAATAAGTGGATATTTGTAAGTCGGACACTGAGTAATTATCCTTATGCATTCTTGAGGTCAATATGGACAACACTAGTAGATTATTGTGTTTCAGAAGAAGACTTTTATGTCAAAATACAAGATCTTGGAAAATAATTGAATAAGAGAGAATTATAAAGCCATTTACTTGTAAATATATCTTAATTGGATAGAAGATCGATAAGAAGTGGTGGTTAAAACTATACGTCTATTAGAGGATTAGACAATCGTGTTTAATGGTTTTTGCGATCATTAAAAATTAACAAATCCATAAATTGGTAGTCTGCATCCGGTTAGAAATTAATAGACCAGATTACTCCTTTTGCTTCCTAATTCTAGACTAGAGTATGTTTCGCACAACCACTCCGATTCCCCCCTCCCCGGAAATTCGTCGCTTTAATTCGTCGTACTGGGTTACCTGTGTTTATTATAACCGAGGGGGACTAAGTTAATTCAAAACAAGTTGAAAACAGGAGTTAAGGGGAAGTGAAGCTTGACCTACAACTCATAGCTGTAACAGTTGAGTACCACTGAATGCAAGAACCACACCACATAACTTCCTGAAGATGAGCTTCTGTGCCACTATATCATTCTTAATTGTGCGATACAATCCAAATGTCATTCCCTTGAGTACCATTTCTTTGTTTAACTGTTGTACATGAGAAGACACATTGATATTGATACGACTCAAACAAAGAATCTTATTCTCAAGAGAATGACACGTGGTCTGAAATGTATCATTCATTCACATTTTTACCCAAACCCGATAAACCCGAACCTGCGAACGGCATTTTCATGACGACTAGTCTTTTGTATTACTTTTCCAAGTAATAACTGTTTCTATTGGAAATAACTGCGTCTCCAGGTACAGCAAGTATGTGCATAATACAGAACCATACGCAAAGTGTCCCTGGGGACGCGCTCGTAGTTACGCCGGAGATGCCGAGGTACAACTTCCTTTGGAGCACCGCCCCAAATGCGAACCTCCCCAGCTGCTTCAAAAGGGCCATCGTCACTTCGGTAGCGGAGCTCACCCACAACCAAGGTAGGGAAAACTGCAGAGTACGTTTCGAATGTAATTAGGATAGCGCGGGTAGCGTATGGTGGCTTACCGCTCGCGTCACACCGCTGTGGTGCGGGTTCGAGTCCCGGATCAGACTGGATCAAACAGTAGGAACTTATGGATAAATTGAATCACCGTAAGAAGCTTTGTTAAATTGACGTTTCGGACGTTAGTCCTTCGTCGGAGTAAGAGTCAAACTGGATCATATGTGAGTTGAGTTTGTTTGATGTGTTATTCTCTCCTTTGCCACGATAGCCAGACAGAACCCTGAAACAACCTCTGGGCTGATCTAATTCAGGGCACAGCTAACTCACAGGTCAAACCCTGAAACAACCACGCCAGATTCATGCATGCACCTGAAACTATCGCGAAGCAAGTTTCTGGATAAGAGTTTTCTATGTGAAAGTACTATAATATTTCCTCTACTCGGTGTTATCTATAGGGGAGCACCCGTAAAGCAGTACTACGATCTGACCCAACTCAAAAAGAGCAAACTACGATGGAATGATGAGCTGTAAGTTATAATTGTTTCCTATAGACGGAGTATACATTTCGTATGTCTGTCGGTAAAACGACACGGAACAATACAGTATCGACAACAAACCGTAGGCACCGTCTGTCTTCACTATCTATAACCCTGTATAAGGCGGACATAAAAGACCCACTGAAGACGCTGGTGACGACCACCTTCAATGCTCGTGCTAACACTACAGGACCCACAGTAATTGGCCATGCTGTTGTAGTGTCCCTGGCCTCACTGGTAAAACAAAACAAAAAATAACTCCCTATCCAATCAAAATGCTTGGACACATAACCGTCACGGTCACGCCACATCTGTACATGTTCTGCACGCTTTTCGCCAGTCATACGAAATGTGACCCTAATGATACACGTGCACGTGTAAAGGTCCTGTTTTCACAGCAACTTGTCTCGCAATGCTTGAAAATGTAGCGTTGCAGGTTGTCGAGGTGAGGTGCAATCCGTTGCGAAAATAGACCTGAGTTCTACCGCGTGCAACGCTACGCGTAACAACAAAATTTGCGAGACAATTCCCCCTCTTACATAGTGCAATTCTCCAGCGTCTTGTCTGGCGACAGCGTTACGAGACGAGTTGCTGAAAAAATTGCACGGTGTAGCAGGTTTCTCATTTTAGAATCGGCTTATTAGATTCTTCGTTTGAACCACAATTACCATAATTATAATTGCTATAAATTAATTGCTATATATTAATTTAAAAAATGGTTCCACTTAGCGTTATTAGTACAGAACCATTTATTATTTTGATATTATCATTATATTCGTTTTCTTTTCTTTCAGACTTCCACGACCAACTACCGCTGAAGTGCAGTGAGTATATCCTGACTCTAAGGCCGAATACACCGCCATTTTTCATTTTTCTACCAAATTTCGAACTTTCGGCTTTCGAACACCGTGTTTGGATCAAGCCAAGCGATGTTAATTCCACACGATGTTCTTTTTAGTTTTCTAGCTAATCTTCTTTGTTTACACAGCTTTGTTAGGCCAAATTACTGTCCTTACTTTTAAGTGCTAAGTGCAAAATCCTACGTTATAGCTATCGACGTTCTTAGAGTCGTCACGCAACTTAGCACAAACAAAAATGTTCGAGAACAAATCGGAAAGCTTAATAAAGGTAAAGGTAAAGTACCTATATTTAACGTCGGTAGTTCCTTCAGTTGTAATTCAACTGCTATCAATGGAAGCCGACGGTGCGCACTTTACCCCCTCTCTCCATCAGTGCTCACTTTTTTAATCGGTGTAGCTTCAGTTTTAAATACTCTTAAAAGAGTATTTAAAACCCTGAAGCTACATGGGTTAGAGAGAAGTCGAAACAGACGTGGAGATCCTAAGGATCGAACCATGGACCTCTAGCTCTGAAGGTCGCGCACTAACCAACTGAGCTACGTCTGCTCCTGAATTGAGAGCATAAGGCCCCGTCCACACGTATCCGCAAATTTTTGTATCCGCAATTCTGTTTTTACGGATACGGGTTGCGTCCACACGTGTCAACAAATTTTTGTGTCCGTATCTGCAATTTTTACGAAAACGGATACGTGTGGACGGTGAAAACGATTCGAATACGCTGCGTGTGGACGCAAACATTTTCGTATCCGCAAAAAATAGTTTGCGGACACAAAAATTTCCGGATACGTGTGGACGGGGCCTAAGAATAAGAATTGGGAATGCTCGAGAACTGCATGGGGTGCTCGAGGATAATGGCATGAACAACTGAATCGCGAGTGCTTGAACAGGGACCGCGGAAACGGTCTACTAGTCTCTCCCCACCTCCCTCCCCCCCTCCACACCCCCACTTTTTGAAGTGGTCCACGGTCTGTTGAAAACAATCGGAAATTCTCGAGACCATATCAGAATGCTTGATTGAAGAATCGGGAATCCCGCTTTTGAGAACTGGAAGAAATGACTATCTTAAGAGAAAAACCAACGGTTTGAAATGGAAAAACATTACACCCAAATTAATTAATAAAAAAAAAAAAACAACACACATTTCACATTTCCTTCCACTAAAACGTTTTCTTCTTTGAGCAGAAAAAGTCAAATCTATTTACCGTTTCCAAAGGAGTCACCTCTAACGTCCCACATGTCTAGACAGGCCGTATTTCCTCGTCCTGAGCCGTACTTAGGGTATGATCCACGAGGTCTTCCTACCACTCCTCCCTCAAGGGTTATCAACAAGGCTATGGGTAGCTATGGGCGTCGAGAGGTTGAATTATACCAGATTAACACGGCGAGCGCTGCTGAAGGTGGCCGTTTTGGAGCAACTGTTAAGCCTGTTACGGTATGTGATCAACTGTTCAAATGTAAAATGTTATGGCACTGCAAAACAAAACAAAACAAAAAAAAAAACACAAAAAAACAAAAAAACANAAAAACAAAAAGAAAAAAAACAACAAAAAAGCAAAACAAAACAAAACAAAAACCAAAAAAAAAAACAAAAACAAAAAAAGGCAAAAACAAAAAAACAACAATAACAATTTTGAAAAATTGCCTATTTGTTTTTGGTGTCTCGTAATATGATTTGTCAGTCTTCTGTGCCAGCGCTTTCCTATGTCGTCTCCTTGTACATGTCTTTTGCTCTCATCGCATTACACTGTCTCAGTGCCGATGTCCTGACTTTTGAAAAGTCCTAGATCTTCACTTAGTCATGGAGCAGATTTCGACACATACACATCATTCGATACACTACTAGAAGATAATATAGGTAAGTTGTAGTGCTTGGGAACGAGGTTATTCCGGGCGGAAGCCCTTGGAATTAAATTCGGAAAAATTAATTTCCGACCTCGCTGGGATTCGAACCCACGACCTTCGGAATTGTACTACCGATGCTCTACCAGCTGAGCTAGCACTACAACTTACCTATATTATCTTCTACTATTTCATTAGTGCCACGCGGTCCACATACTCTCATCTTTTCAATACACTACTCATGACATTTATATTTCGACCAATCACAGCGCGCGGTATTTAAGCTATAATTAGAGCCAATGAAAATACTCAGACACGCTATCTTCGCAGTCACGATCCAAATTATTCTATAACGTTGCGCTTTCTCATTGCACAAATGAACTTTTTACTATGCCATTTGCAGTAACAGGTCACGTGACCCTACCCCATAAAACGAGCAGCTCAGGAGTAGGGTCACGTGACCTGTTGGCGCTAGTTGTCCATTCACAACCTTAATAGACTTTTGCCATTGGTGTAATGTTGTTCCATTTCAAACCACGTGTCATTCTCTCGGGAATAGAGCAGGTGAATGTTACGTCATAGCCGCCATCTTGGTCGACGATAACAAAGCATTCCTCTTTAGCTTTTCTTGTTAAATCAACCAACATGGCGTATGTTTAGTTGTTATTATTAAGTCATATCTAAAAAGATTTTGAGTCACATGGCTGCACACACTGTATAAGATTATTTGTTTGAGTTGTACCCACTGTCTTCTCTTGCACAACCGTTAAACAAAGAAATGATACTCAAGGATTTGCCACGTGGTCTGAAATGGGACAACATTACCCCCAAGGTCAAAAGTTCAATCTATACTCTTTCTTGCAGATAACAAATCCATTTTTCAATCGACATGACATCATCAGCGAGTTCAACCGCCTTCATCCGAGCAACACGCCAACTTTACGTCTGCCAATACAACGACTAAGAAAAGCAGACTGGCATGCCAATTAAACCAAGACAAAAATGACAGCATAAAAAAAAAAAAGAGTTTTGAATCGATTGACCAGCTTGACTTGTAGAAAAAGTTATTTGAGTTAATGCTAATTAGCTACGTTTATTTTTAACACATTTAAATTGTTTGATTATGATTGCATCATTCCTGGGATGAGTGAATGTGACGTCATAAGCCGCCATATTGGTTGACTTAACTGGTTTTTAAAACTGGCTTTAGAAGTTAGCTTCCTGTGTGCAAACGTTCCTTTCTGACGCTGTATTTCCAGGAATTCTCTATTTAAGAACGCAATGCATCGTTTGTCAATGAAAATACTCCAGTTTCAAATTCATATATTCAAATATTCTCAGTTACTTTTCTCTTTAAAAGCCAGTAAAGAAACACAAGATTCCGTGACTAATTTAAACGTTTACGGAGCGTAGCTCCTTTCTCAGACGTAGAAAACAAAATCAGGTTTAACTTCAATGTCGTGCTCAATATTGATGTGTTGCAGTGAAGGTCCGTGGAATTTTTAAAGTGTCTGTATTATATTAGATATCGTTGAAGATGTGCATTCTTCATACTTTTAGTAATTGTGAATAAGTTAAGGTTGATTTTGAAATGAGACTAACCTTGGGTTACAAGGGCGGATCCAGGGTTTTTTGAAGGGGGAATCTCAGGGGTAAATTTTGTGGGCAAAGGAATCCCAGTCGCATTTTTACCACAGGAAGCCCATTTGACCTCAGGAATGATAGGGGGGTCGCGACCCCCCCGACCCTCCCCCTGGATCCGCCCTTGGGTTATGAGTCGGTCTATTCTCTATTATTTTAAACGGACGGGTTTTTTTTTAAAACGTTTGTTGATACGGTATTCGTTAAATCTTTTGGTCATACAAGTTTTACTGTTCTTTTTTTTCTATTTTCTTTTTCTATTTTCTGTCGCCACTAAAATCTATAACAGTTGCTTATAGAATATTCGAGTCAAGTAACAGCCTAAGTCGAAGAAAGTAAAAATAGTACAGATTAATAGGCGTATCCTCTGGAATGAACTGATATACTAGAAATGAATGGCTTCCAGTCATGATCATTTTCGAAACTTATTCAGAAATATTTTTCTGGCCACATTCCGAAACTAAACTAATTGAAATGATGAGAATGTAACCGGAAAATCAATATTACTGATCAAACAGCAGTATTTTGAAGGAGATCGTTGTCCACACGTTTAGGAAGCGCTTTTACGAGACCTAGGCTTTCTGATTTGCCATTTCCCTTGTAAGCGTGGTATTTAACATATTTGGCCCGCATTTATTGGGCACTGCTGTTATCGCGGGATTGTTATGGGAATATCTTACGGATGTTAAGTAAAAGCAGCGCTACATTTTTGGTCGCATTCATTCACCGGCGAACGTACCAAAAATCCCGAGATACGCTGAAAAACGTGGGCTCAGTAACGCTGTGTTGTAGTGGGAGTAGCCGCAGTACAGTTTTCCGCCTTCGCGCGCGCCCAGTTCATTAAATCGGATGTCTCGTAATAGCTTACGAATAATACACTTCCTTCCATAATTAGTGGTTTGAAGCAATGACAAATTATGTTATCAAAACGATATAATTGCTGAATGCGTGGTTTATTACCTTAGTACCTTGAGCCCGAAAAGGTTTCTCTCCCAACATGACGTAAGTGTATTGGTATGCAGTCTGACAACTTGTATAGAGATCCTTGTATAGAAAGACAAGTCCCCGAGCATGCGCAGTGCTTTGGAATAGTTCGGGGAAATATTACTCATATCGCAGAGATTCTCGAAGAGTAGTTAAAAAAAGAGCTGTTTCTTTTTTTGACATTTTGCATTTTAAAACAATTAGGTTTTGAAGTTTTATGGCTGTTGCTAGGCGGAATAATATCACCAAACTTGTGTCATATCACAACGAGCCTTTGGACTTTAGCAGAGAGAGAGAGAGAGAGAGAGAGAGAGAGAGAGAGAGAGAGAGAGAGAGAGAGAGAGAGAGAGAGAGA